GTCCATTCCATTGCTAGAAAATCCTGGTGATTTTTGGCAAATTTTTTAGTGGAAGGTGTTGCTCATTTTCTCCATACAAAAAATAATTGTGGAATATACCTTGCTTGTGTGAAAAAATACCAAAAATCAATGCGATTTTCTAGCGACTTCAAACTTGCACTTTGTTGTACTAAAAAATTTTCTAAAAAATCTGAATAAAAAGTTGCAAATTAGTGTGGAAATTTGATGAATTCTCCTAAGTTTTGCACAAAGTCAAGAGATTTTATTTTTATGGTTTTTGGTGTAGAATAACCAATATTTTTATAAAAAATTATCCAAAATAAATTAGAATAAAAAACTTTGCATATATTGCGAAAAATTCACTGTGCCAATACTTCTGTTCGGCACTGTATGTACTTACTTCATGGATTGTAGCTAACATGAACTTTGCTATCTGTTTTGCAATTTCGTACATACGTATTTTCCTTTAGATATTGTAGTGTCATGGTGACACTCGCAGCTCAATAGATACATATTTACATATTACATACATAAGCGTTTGCAGTTTCGTTTCATGAATTTTTAATTCGTCTTTGGAGTTCTTGCTGTGGTTTCCGTTAACACGACTAAAAAATTCGTTCGAGTATAGTATGTACATCACAGTTTATAGTAAAGTGTAATTGGAATTACATGCATACATACTTACATGTGCGTGCATACATACATGCATGTGTTTATATGTTTGAACATACATATTTACTATATAAATATGTTTTAGTTCTTCATTTTTATTGCTGTCATTTCAAAAAGGGCTGAACTTTTTACCGATCGCTTCCGTTGATCCACCATAATTGCAGACTTTCATACGTATACATACAGTTGTCCACAAAATAGTAGGAGTGGGATATTTTAACCTGTTTTGGCTATTTGTCTTTAGTTTATTTAATGTTTCGTATTCTTTTGTAAAAGCCTAGCTGGTAATACAACAAACACCATATAAATTTACATTTTCAAGTTTGTACAAAAATTATAAAAATTCTGCAAATTTTCACCAAAATTTCAAACTATTTAACCAGAATCTTTAGAAAATATGTTGGTATGCAGTTTTGTAGCCCATTCAATTCTAGTCTGAAGAAGTGCAAGTTTCAAGCTGCTAAAAAATTCCGTTGATTTTTGAGAATTTTTTCGGTTGAAGGTGTTTCACGTTTTTTCCATACAAAGTATGTTCGACAATTTTCTTTTATATGGGGACAGTGCCAGCAAAAAAAAATTGCCAAAAATCAACGGAATTTTTTAGCAGTTTGAAACTTGCACTTCTTCAGACTAGAATTGAATGGGCTATAAAACTGCATACCAGAATTTTCTCTGAAGATTCTGATTAAAAAGTTTGATATTTTGGTGAAAATTTACAGAATTTTAATAATTTTTGTACAAAGAATGAAATATGAATTTATTCGTTGTTTGTTGTATACACAGCTTGACTTTTACATAAAAATAATAAACATTAAGTAAACAAAAGGCAAATGGCAAAAACTGACCAAAATAACGCACTCCTATTATTTTGTGCACCACTGTACATATGTATGTATATGTACACATCGTCGTTTAAAGTACAAAACCGCGTATCAACAAAATGCAAAACCGCGTATGTGAGGTTGCATAAATTACTTTATAGAGATTAAAAACAGTTATATTTCAAAATGGTTCTCCTTTTTATAAAGCAATCGCATTTCTGGCTACTATATTTCAGGACGAATGGATAGGGATTGAGCCAAGAGCTTGTGTGAGCAAATCCAATTTTTGGCAGCCAATGTCAGTTACGCTGTTTTGCAGAATGACGATACGCGGTTTTGTACTTTAAACGACGATGTGTAATTCGATACTTTGAAACATTCTTATATTACGTCCAAATTGGCTGTTAAATGAAAAAGAGCTTTTTGAAAAACACAATCGTCCACATTGAACATTTGGAGTTAATTTCGACGGTTGTTTGATTACCAATAAAAATTCGAAAAACAGAAGCATACATACCATTCATTTTAATTTCAATATTTAGCACTATTCGTTTTGGACCCTATCATCTTAAATACAGTAAACGCATGGGGAGGCAGCCATGGAGATCTTTAAAGCCACCATACGCCTCACTCGGTCACGGTGTCAAGTCGAAAATGCGTTGAACCTTTCGAAAACCATCAAAATAATTTTTAAATCCTTTAGAGCCTTCAAAATTAAAGTTCCCCTTCCGAAGAAAACTGTTACTTTCTAGTTGTCATTGATGGCGGGTAAGCTCTTCAAAATTCCAGTTGCGGCTCTTTAAGTTGTACATTTATTGGTGTGCCTTTTTTGAGCACAATGCATAGAACTATTCATATTTCGTCCTAGCATGAACACTACCGTTTTCTTTCATTTTGAACCAGAATCACAACAATAAGGACCTGACCTCAGTTCTGTGTAGCCTTTTAATTTTTGGTTACATTTCGTGTTTTGTTTTTCATTCCTTGGCTATCCATGTTAAATGCCGAATCGGAGCTTAGTTGCGTTAATACGGCATTTCAATTATAGTTCAGAGTTAAAAGACCACTGTTTGCAATTTCATTAATTTTTCTTAACTCATAAGTGCGCTAAACTTACAATAACTTTTCGAATGGATAAAAAAAAAAATATTAAATTTCTGTCTTCTAAATGACATTAATACGAAGCTCCAAGGATGCCTTCAAGTCTATATCGTGCCCCTAATGCCAGAAACATGAATGTGTAAAAATGAACATGATGAGAAGTCAAGTTTGAAAGTAAATTTTTATGAGACTTAACTCTACATTCATGTAGTTGGCGGGTTTTAGTGTAACACAGACCATCCAAAGGTCAATCATGTCAAACCATTAACTCAAAATTGTTAAATTTCCACATTCATACTTCTGGCATAAGGGGAACGAAAAAATAATTGCCTATTCAAGCGAAACTTGGTGTATCTCCACACATTCATACATAAGTACATAGGCATGTACATTTATTAGTATACTCGTATACTACGTACATACATACGCACGCTTTGGTTACAAACGCCCATGGAATTTTAAAACGCCTTTAATTTGTAGCATTCTCCCACCACTATATCGAGGCGTATGCACATACGTACATAGATTATGACGCTATAGTTATTAATTGAAACCACATTTCTCTCAAGCATGACTTGCAATGTATGTATGTACTATTTTTTAATCATGCCTTCTTAGAATTTGTTCAAAATTTATAAATAAGATATCGTCGTCATTATCACAGGCTTATGTAAGTTTTCTAATTTGACTGCAAAAGGAAAGCGATATACTTTTAAAACGGCAGCAATTCGTTCAGAGCTTTACCAAGAACAAAATCTTACAATCTGCTATATTTTCAGATAACTCTTTAATCGGAATATTTAAATCCAGTGACATACATACGTTTTTCACAAAAATTTAATTACATATACCATATATGTACATACATATGTATAGTAGGTATGCACTTAAATACATATGCACACATATTAGCGATAAATAAATTTTCCCATTGCATATGTATGTACGTCCAACGACCTATTCAGAAATACGTTTATCGCTACATACTGACTGCTGATAACGACAACACGTCCCTAGACAGTGGCAACAACTTGCGACACTTTCGTATTAGGTTTCTGCCTTTTCATTCTTATTCTTCAATTGATGTTGCCCTGCCCTGCCGTGACGTGCCGTGCCGTACCCTTCTTTAAAATGCCGGCCGGCTCAACCAGCGCAACAACTGCACACATTCATGACTTAACTATCGTCTATATGGTTCGGGTGCGGGTTTTCGGGAACAACAAACTAATGGCGACGACTTTGAAAATACACATATGCATGTGTAGATACATATCGTCGTTTAAAGTACAAAGCATCGTCATTCTGCAAAACCGCGTAACTGACATTTACTGCCAAAAATTTGATTTACTCACACAAGCTCTTGGCTCAATCCTTATCCATTCGTCCTGAAATATACTAGAAATGATATTGCTTTATAAAAAAGAGAACCATTTTGAAACATGAGTGTTTTTACTCTCTATAAAATAATTTGTGCAACCTCACATACGTGGTTTTGCATTACCTTGATACGCGGTTTCGCATTTTGTTGATACGCGGTTTTGTACTTTAAACGACGATATGTACATAAACTAGTCAATGTTCATGGATTGGCTGCGAATGCTAATAAGGGCTTTGATTAAGTGTATTTATGTATACACATTTAACTAACAATGCAATATGAATAAAAAAATTGTTTTCCATGTTATCGTTAAGTAATAGATTCATAAAAAATAAAGTAACTTTAAACAGTTTAACTTAATTTTCGATTTATAAAATATTTAAATAAAGTCCTTTATTTTTTATGAATTTGCGTGTGAATTTTTCACTTCAAAAGATTCTTTTTTTCTAATAATTCCAGTAGGTTCAGTTGTTGCTCTGAAACAGGAAATGCGATATTTTTTTGAACCCACTGTGACTTATTAAAAAAAAAGAACTAAATACCAAAATGTGTAACTAATTTAACGATTGAACACATGAGAAATAAATTATACATTTTTATATCATTGCACTTCTGTTGAAATATTCTAAGCTTCGCACACATTTATTTTAAATAATCAGATTTGACATAATCTGAGTGGACATCAACTAAAAATTTCCAAAAATAGCATGATCAATCTTAGTAACTGATTTCATCTACGCCCATGAATTGGCATTGTAGCGTTGAAAAAAAAACCTAGTACAAATTTTCAACGAGCGCGTCCCAAACGGATGATCCGGAGATGGTAAGACCAGCGCACACCTCTTCTAAAACAAAAAGTGAACGTTATTTTCATGTTTAATGTTTTCAATTTTTTTGTTTTTGTTTTTATTATTATATAAACGTAATACATTTAATAATATTTAGAAGATAATAAACCTATTCTCTTGTTTTTTTTTTTTTATTTTTTGTTACACTTTGATTTTCTCATTCGCTTCTATTTTTTTCCATCTTATATTGTTGCGATTTAAATTGGTTTAAATTAATTTTTACCGGTCACATTTTTAGATCATTATACATATTGTTCATTTTTGCTTTGCTGATACTAATGAATTTCTCATATGCCATATGACAATGAAAAACGAGAACTTATTTAAAACAAAAGGGGTAATTTTAGTCTTCACAATTTTAATTGTTTACTTGTTTTAAAACATGATTTTTTGTTTGTTTGTTTCATTTCATACATATTTCTACGCAACTTTTCATTACATTCATTTTAAATTTATAAAATTTTTCATAATGCTAGAAAACATCAATTAAGTATATAATCATCAAACAAATAATTTATCAATACAAAGTGGCTACAAAGTGATTTACACATTTTGATTGTTTCGTGAAGGGATCGTTGGTCTGCCAATAGCAAACAGGCATATTTCTTTTCGTCACGGATACTGCTCGGGTCTTGATGTATGGGATCGAATATATGTTTTACTATGCATGAGTACGACAAACTGATTAATTATGGTTTTATATTTTTCATAGGGCACATGGGAATCGTTTTGTCTTTTGACAGTGCTGTTACAACATTATTTCTATATTTATATTCATTAATAAACGGCGAAACGAAGATGATAGAAGACTAGCAATAAATGTGCCGGTCAATATGGATTGTACATACAACTATGTGCCTTAAATGGCAAAAATTCTTATTTTCTCATCACTTCTTTACATCCGCTAAATTATTATTATTATTTTTTATTACTTTTTTGCTTGGCATTTCCTTTGCTTAGGTTTTATAGTCAAAACGGTTACTCGAGCTATTACGATTTGGCCTACATATTCTCGGTTATGGCTAACATTTCAGTTTTAACTAAAAAAAAAGATTTATCAATGGTTGTTAAAGAAATAAAGCTTTGGAAAGTAAAATAAAATTGCAACTTTTGAAGCAATATGATTAAGAGCAGGTTTTTCAAATATGATTATGAAATATTCACAACCGTAGAACCATTATGTGTGAAATTATGCGCGCAATATAGCTATAAAAAAGTGTTTGAACTGCATGAGTAAAGAGTGTGCGAAATCGTATTGACTTTACCGAGACCCTAGTATACATTTCTTTCCTACTTACAAGCGTTAATTCAAAACTAACATCTGCTAAGTTTTTTTCTTAGTTATAGATATTTTGTAAATTTGTAAAATGGTAGCAAAGTAGTATCTTAGTAAATTGTAAAAACGATTTTGAATGATTTCGACAACGCGGCTTTTTAACGAGTTTTTTAAGTGGAATTTCACTTAAGCGCCATAAAATATTTGCGTTTAGACTTTCCTTTTGGTTTCATACAAAGGATAGTATTGAGATGAAATAATACAAACTTATTTTTAATTCCAGAAAATAATTCCATAAAATCGGCATTTAAAATTTTGCGCCCATAAGTGAAGGTAATTTGTTTTTTTTTACATACCACCATTATAAGTATTCAATGTTTTTCAATATCTAAAGACACAGCGAGAAGGAGATTGGATTGTGAGAAATCCACATATGATCGCAATGTTTTTCTGAAACTTTTTTGGTTTTTAAACATTTTCTTAATAGATCCTCACTATTTATTTATTTTCTTCAATCATTATCATGTTTCCTTTATATAATTTTTAATTGTAGTCTTATAGCAGAACACATAAGGACTTTTTAGGTTTTTTCTGTTTCTTCTCTGGCGATTTTTTATTGATCTGCCTAACGAGATCATAGAAAATATCATGTACATTAACTTTAGCTTTGGCTGATGTTTCCATGAAGGCGCAGTTGAATTGTGTGGCCAGACTTTTACCCAGCTCTTTGCCCACTACTCGCTCGTCTTCTAAATCGCATTTATTACCCACCAACACCATCGGTACATCGTCCGTATCTTTCACACGCAATATTTGTTCACGTAAATCTTGCAGATCATTGAATGTTGATTGTGCCGTTATGGAATATACGAGGACGAACCCTTGACCATTTTTCATGTAAAGATCGCGCATAGCGGTAAACTGTTCTGTGCCTGCAGTGTCGAGTATCTCCAGCATACACTGTTGACCGTCAACTTCCACCTGCTTGCGATAGCTATCCTCGATTGTGGGGTCATACTTTTCCACGAATATGCCCTGTACAAATTGTACGGTTAAGGCGGATTTGCCTACACCTCCACTGCCCAGCACAACAATTTTGTACTCGCGCATAGTGTCAGCGATGGGTGGACGTACTCAGCAGGTCTTTATTATGTGATTGTTGATCAGGGGAGGGCACAACAATTTATGTATGTGTGTCGTATACTATAAACGAATACGTAATTGCAATTTTTCTTTGTTTCCGTAATCAATTTGCGATTACAGAGTTACACTTATATTTATGTTGCTCACTATTATTTTATAACGTTCGCTGCTAATTGGGCTTGCCGAAAATGTTTCCTCTCCTCTAATTTGGTTGAGAATGTATCTTATTACTTCGTTACTTGCACTTTGTTACTTTTTCACGTACTTGATATTCTCACTAAATTGTATTACTTATCACTTCAGGGATTTCTTGATGGAAACCACAAATTGGAAGCACAATCCAAACGATGTCCCTAGTTCAGCAAGCAAAGAAAAGAAATAAAACTGTATATTAATTAAACAAAATTATTGCTTGATAATCAATTAATTAACTCGTCACTATCGCATTTTGGGGAGAACTTCAACTTCATCATTTTAATGACTCATTTTGTCCCTTCCATTTTACCTTCTTTCTTCCCGCTGTTGCGTTGCTATCGTCGTTTCGAATATGCTATGGGCAGAGGCGCCTGGCCAATGTTTCCCTTCTTTTTTGGTGCTCGTTCGTTCCAGCGAGCGTTCTTGGTTCTCGCAATTGCTTTTTCCCCGTTTCGAAATCCACCAATTCTGTCAATTCGGCCGCGATTAACCAACGAATCAACTGACCTGCTACGAAGATCAAACACAAAATGGAATGTGAAAATAAGATTTTTGCTAACTTTTGGTCTGATGCAGTCTCGTTCTTATATCCCTGCTGCACCCTATGTGCTAACAAACCAGAAATATGTTGGAGGCGTATTATTAAATATTTATTTTATATATGTTTTTAATAAGAAATTCACAAAATACGAGCACAAAATTTTCTGTATCTTTGCACGACGCGTCACAGCAAGGTTGCATTCCTTAACTACGAGTAATTTGACATATAAAAGTAACGAGCAGAGATGAGAAAATAAAACGATAAACTATAATCGTTTGTGCACTATCTTCCTTTTGAAGAGCCAATTATTATTTTTTAAAAGAATTCAAATAATGTTTTCAGGATATTTATAATAATTGTAGAAAGTTTTCAGGTTCAAGAACAGAGGAGGGAAAGCCGCGGTACATCCAATGAAATTAAATAGAAAATTCACGGATTAAAATTTTCAGAAGCATTCCCCTGCTCTCTATCGGTACGATATAAGTAACTGGGGAATCCTTGAAACCTATTCAATCAAGTAGGGTCCTCACACCAACCTTAGTACTTATTTACTTGACTCCCAGTGGTTTTTCTCCGTGTATTTTTTTCTGCCTAATATCAATAACCCCTTTGCAGACCATGAACTAAAAATACAAGATCACGCGGGCAGGAGAGTAGCCCGTTAGAATCGTATTTATAGGGAATTTACATGATTCAACTTTCACAGGCGATTAGTTGAACCAAAAGTTGAACGAAAGTAGGCAGCCGACCAACTTCATTGAAAGGCCGTTTACACCAGGCGATTGTTGCTTTCAACTCAAAATCGCCTGAAAAATCGCCTATTAGGAAAAAAGTTTAACGATTTTGACATTAGCCGTTTGTTTATATTTCTTCGTTGTTTACAATTTGGTGGTGGCTTTTTACTGCAATTTTCTTCGTTTTCGCCGGTGACAACGTGTGTACACATAAGATAAAGACTAATTTAACACAACGGCATGATTTATAGAAGAATTTGCATAATAAAAATGATTATTCATGCGTTCAGCAATTTCGCGGTTTTCTCCGTTCTCTTCGTTGTTTACTTCTTACAACAAAGATGGCGTGGAGATTTCGGCAGCTAGAAAATAACTTTTTTCTTTCTTTCCTTCCCGCGTGATCTTGTGTCATTCGTTCATGTTAGCAGACAACGGCAAACCCATTACAAGGTCGATAGAATATTGTATTCGTTTTACCATGACCCATTACTATTTATTGTAATGCATTTTAGAACGCAACAGATAAAAACGCTTGTGTGCAAACCAAGCCTAATTTCGTTCTACGCTCATTTACAACTCCCACCTCTAATTTTCAAATTTAATGAAAAGCCACATGATTCTATTATAAAAACACATGTATTTTATTTATACATCTAAACTGACATATTTCCGAATTATATACATCACTTTAAACTAGAAGTCTTTCAATTTCATGTTGAATTGATTGGATTTGTGATTTGAGCTGTGAACCATCATTTGTAGTAACAGAGCAAGCAACAATTGGTCGAGACACACCGCATGCACGGCCAAGCGCCTGCTTGGAGCGCACAAACACATAAGGAACGTTTTTATCTTCACACAGAAGAGGTAAATGCAATAGAATTTCGATGGGCTCCGTATCAGCAGCCAAAATGATAATATCAGAAAGGCCTCGATTAAGCGTTTTGGTGGCCTCATTAGCTCCTTTACGTAGTTGATTATAGTTTAGCGCTTGCTGCAACAAATTCATGATTTTCGCCGTGAGCTGAGCATCAGCTAGCGGGAATGCTTTCGGGCTTACTTCCTCGGTCTAGAAACAGTATATCCTTTTTGTAAAAAGCAGATGGATGATAGTATTCATAACTTACCATTTTGTTAATATTTTGATTGTTATATATTGAAATCTGGAATATTTTAATGCAACCTCTCGGCCGAATGCTTCACTGAGGGCAGAAGAATAATAAATAAGAAAAGAAAAGCGGGTAAACAAGAAAGTGCAAAAGCAAAACACGTGTAGGGTTGCCACGTCATATTGCAACATGGAGTATTTTAACCTCGCAACTACACATTCTACTAAATGTGTCTTGACATCGGTCAATTTTAACTTAACAGCCCTATTCGTGTGTTGTCTCAGTCGTCAATTGTGACAGTTCAATTTTGATTATCTCGACGCCATCTTCGTTGTAAGAAGTAAACAACGAAGAGTACGAAGAAAACCGCGTAATTGTTGAGCGCATAAATAATCATTTTTATTATGCAAATTCTTCTATAAATCATGTCGTTGTGTTAAATTATTCTATACCTTATCGTGGACTGGGTAAAATATTGTCGTAAGCGCCATTTCAAAATTTTACTTAAGTTAATCCCTCATAAACTCAAAACTAATTAGCAATAAACACTAAAAATTAAATAATTTAAGAGTTTTGTGAACTAGTAACATTTTCAGAGGTGGTGTTGTAAAATCAGCTGATTGCTTTGCCTTACATGTATTTTGTTTTTGCTGATCAAAAACAAAGTACATGTAAACTTTGTGGCAAATTGAGATTTGACATCACACCCGTAATACAAAATACATGTGACTGTTGTTGTTGTAATCTAAATTCGCCAGTACCACCACCTTGTATAAATTCATCTTGTTCTCGCGTGATCTTGTATTTTTGGTTCATGGCAAGGCGAATTTAAACAAGGTGGCATGGCGAATTTATACAAGGTGTTGTAAAATCAGCTGATTTCTTTGCCTTACATGTATTTTGTTTTTTCTTTTACTGATTTGACAGCACACTCATCAAAAGCAAAAACAAAATACATGTAAACTTTGGAACAAAATACATGTGGTTGTCGTTGTTGTAATCTAAATTCGCCAGTAACACCACCTAGTATAAATTCGCCTTGCAAGGTGGTGTTGTTAGATCAGCTGGTTTCTTCGCCTTACATCACGATGCAGCGAAACAAAGGTGGCGCTTCCGCGAACCGCTAGTCCTCTCTTTCCCGATTTGACAGCGTCCACCTTTCGCTGACGTCCCATTATTATTTTTGCGCACTAGTGATGAATACTAAATTTTCGTATTGTTCCTAAAAGTAGATACACGTACCTAAACCGTAAACATGTATGTATTTTTATGTGCACATATTTTTGGTAGTTGGGGGACTAAATCTTCCTTTTGTATCATAACAATTTTTCTACTTACATGAAACAATTGGGGTGTTCACAGTTCGTTCCAAATTGTGTCTGAAAATGTAGACGTCTACATTTTAAAGACATCTTTAGCATCAAACTGTGAGCACCCCTTTCTAGCAGTCGTCGCAAAATCGTCTCAAAACTTTGCTGGTGTTGCCAAACATTTCTTCCTTGCATGCATTATTTATATGTCGCCTTTCGATTTTGTTTCTGAAAAATTGTAATTATTTAACTTAATTACCAATTCGTAATATTTGTTATTTCTTTTCCTTGATTTGTTTCTTTTCATCAGAAATTGCGCTCAAATTAAATGCAAATACAGAAAACGTGCCCAATAAATAAAAAAAAAGGTGATTAGTATTGCCATAATGCAGTCCTGCTGCGAGGTTGCAAAATGTAGACGCGTAAAAAACATACCTTTGAGTGTGACAAAATGTAGACGGCGTCGTTTTCCAATTTTGTATGGGAAACAACAACACCACAGATTTTACGGTTAGAAAACGTCTTAAAATGTAGACGTCTACACGACTGTGAACACCCCAAATATTTTCCTACGTTCCAAATGTACCTAAAATAATGTGCTCTACCGAATGTAAGTGCAAATTTAAGAAGCTGAAGAGTAGGTACAATTCAAGAACGATAGAATACAAGACTGCGCCAATCGAGCTGAGAGCAACTGGGTGTGACGTCACATTATTTTGAGAATGAGAGTGTAAAGAATAATTTTGAAGAAGAAGAGGAAGAAGCGAACAAGTGGAGCGAAATAGTGATGTAAAACTAGGTTGAATTGTACCTACTCTTCAGCTTCTTAAATTTGAACGTACATTCGGTACAAGCACACTATTTTTGGTACATTTGGAACGTAGTAAAATATTATTTCATGTAAGTACGAAAATTGTTATGGTACAAAAGGAAGATGTAGTCCACCACAAACGGCTAATGTCAAAAGCGCCCAACTTTTTTCCTAAATGCGATTATAATGGGCTACTGGCCACGATCCAGAAAATATGTATTCTATCATTCTTGGATACTGGCTTGCTGGCGTGATCTTGTATTTTTGGTTCATGGGTACTGCTGTTTGCGCCACCTCTGTCTCCCTATATCGTGGAAGTTTATCGCTCATTCTCTCATTCTCGCGCTGTTCGCAGTATTGCCATTTCGAAAAAATGCCACTTTGCGACGTTTTATGCATCGCACAAATGTTCCTCGTATATTTACCACTTAATGTGGAGCACTATCCCAAAATCACAATAAATATTGGAAGTGTAGGGCTCGCTTAAAAGCTGCTAAATTTTCAAAACATTTCCTTCTAGTTCCAGATTGAAGAATTATTATCCGTGAAATACCTCTTATATATAAAATATTATAAAATGCGCCGTTCGTGTGCACCTTCAATGTTAAGGGCACGAGAAGATGAGAAACGCAGGAAGATCGATGGTCTGTTTGAAACTGAACGAAGCAGCGGGGATGATGTGACCTCAACCACTGGAAATGAGGAATGTTGGGGCACTAGAAATAGAGGAGGTGGTAAATTTGAAAAAGAAGCCGCCAAAGAAAACTTTGATGCATTTAGTTCTAAAATAATTTTTAATGTTGTGTGGCGTGAAATTACAAAAAAGAAGCATAAAACATGGGACGGTGATGGCTTACTAGAAGTGCAGTTGGATGTTCCAAAAGCGGTGCTAAAGGACAGCTCCGGTAGATACATTGGTACCAATACAAAGTTCAAAGCTGATGAGTTAGAAGAAGGCTACCAAATGGTTGTAGGCGGGAAGGAGATTGAATTATTAGAGCAAATTACCGACAGAAATGTATATTTTGCTTTGCGTAAAAAACAAGCCGATAGTCGCTGGAACGTTGAAGAAGAGCTGCAAAGTAGTGGAGTCGACAAAAAGATAAAGTTGTCTACTTTATACCAAGCACCATGTGCTCTAAAAAATAGTACTGAGTTGAGGGCGGAAAACATACCAACCACAAGCGGAATCCAAAAAAGAAATTATACTGAATCCCTTGAATCAGCTAACCTTAAAGTAATTTTCAATGTCGTCTGGAGAGAAATTACTACAAAAAAGAATAAAACATGGAATGGTGATGGTATATTTGAAGTGCATACCGGTAGTAAGCGAGGTATTCTAAAGAACGAGAGGGGACAGGAAATGGGTACTCTAGAAAAAGTAAATTTAGCAGTATTAGAAGTTGGTACATTTTTGGAAATTGAGGATAAAGAACTAGAAATTTTAGAAATTGTATCACAAGACAGACATGAAAAGGAAAATATTAAGCAGACATCGCATAAAGTACACCGAAAATGTTCACCCAGCGTCAAAGTTAACGGTTTATTATTACCTTTCCCACCAGCAGAATATATTACAGTATTGAATACTATGTGTCGACCAATTCAACCGGTCGAAATCTCACCCAAGGTCGCCCAACATTTGCGTCCGCATCAACGAGAAGGTGTCGTCTTTCTTTATCAATGCGTAATGGGATTCAAAAATCCAACTCATCGTGGATGTATACTTGCTGACGAAATGGGCTTAGGCAAAACCCTACAGTGCCTAACGCTGGCTCGTACACTTTTGAAAGAAGGGCCATACGGAGGTGAACGTGTAATGCAGCGCATATTAATTGTTACACCCAGCACACTCACTCGAAATTGGGAGCAGGAGGTGAGTAAATGGTTAAAAACTGAGCGCATGTATGCATTTGTTGTGGGTGGTAAACAAAAGTTGGATTGCTATGCACATCAGCAGCATGTTCCATTTGTAATTGCTTCATATGAGAATCTACTTGCAAATGCCTCAGATTTTCAACGTCTAAAATTTGATTTGCTAATTTGCGACGAAGGTCATCGCCTCAAAAATCAGTCTACAAAAATTGTAGCTTCACTTCGAGAACTTAACATTCCTTGTCGTATAATAATTACCGGAACACCTGTGCAAAATGATTTGGGCGAATTCTTTGCCTTAGCCGATTTTGTGAACCCCGGTATTTTTGGCACAAAACAGGAATTTCATTCGTACTACGAGGTTCCATTGCAGCAGAGCCAATGTCCTGATGCTAGTATTGAAGTTAAGAATATAGCGGCAGAGCGGACACAAGAGCTAATGCAAATCTCAGAACAATTTGTGCTTCGACGGCTACAGCACGTGAATGGACAGTACTTGCCTAAAAAGTACGAGTATATATGCTTTGTACGGCCATCGGAGCTACAGCAGTTTTTGTTACAAAAAGCACTTCAACTTTATGCCCAACGAAAGGAAACCATTCTAAAAGATCTATCACCGCTTCAGTTAATTACTGTATTGAAAAAAATTTGCAATCATCCTTCGTTGGTGGCGCGGACTAAAACCCCTAATGTACTGACGCGCCATTTGGAACGTTGTTTGCCTGATTGGGCGGAAATGGGACCCTTTGATTCCGCGAAATTAGAACTAGTGCAGAATTTACTTGTCGCTTCGGCTGTGCAAAATCGAGAAAAATGTGTTCTAGTTTCAAACCATACTAAAACACTCAATATGTTGCAGGGATTGTGTGACTTTTTGGACATAAAATGTTTGCGTTTGGACGGATCCACAAATATTGCTCAAAGAAATTCAAATGTCGAAAAATTTAATAGCAACGCAGATGATTCGCTAGTATTTTTACTGAGTGCAAAAGCTGGAGGTGTTGGTCTTAATTTGATAGGGGCTTCAAGGTTAATACTTTTCGACCATGATTGGAATCCAGCGACCGACGCTCAAGCGACGTCACGCATATGGCGCGATGGGCAGCAAAGAGATGTGCACATCTATCGACTGGTGACCGCTGGTTGTATTGAAGAAAAAATATTCCAAAGACAAATTGCGAAAATGTCGCTGGGCGATTGTGTAACGCAAACTATTGCCAGTGGGAGTTTTGATAAAGCCATGAAATTTTCAGCAGATGAGCTTTTAGATTTGTTTAGCTTACAGGAAGATTATTCTAAATGCCAAACACATGAAAGTTTGAATTGCAGATGCAATGGCGATGGAGAGGTAACTCAACGAAAAATGTTTTTTTTTTGTAATTGTAATTTTGTTCTTATTTCTAAGAAATTGGCTCTTGACATAACTACTAGTGCTCGAAAGATGAATGAATTAATGAACTGGAAGCATTATAAACCGCCATTTGACCTTGATTTTTTGGAGGTAAAAATACATACATATTTGGAAGTGACGTGCACACAAACCTATATCTACGTATAATTATATATTTTTTCTGTTTTAGGCGACATGTCTGGACAAAGCGGGCGATAATCTCATGTATGTGTTTACCAATGAGATTGACTTTAGTTAAATAAGTTATTAGTATTTAATTAAGTATATTCAAAATATTGTTAAAAATTTAAGATGAATATGAAGTTAAACCTTAGTTTAACATAAAGGGATTGCTTATTCGTGTTATTACCACAGCTCAATACTAGTCCTCGCTTTCTAACGATATATTGCTTCCGAATCGTTGGTACAGGTGCGATTTCAGCTCATTCATTTCGGATTTAATTTCATTTGCTTTCACATCAATCGCAGCAATTTCTTTTAATGTTTCCTCTTTAACCGCAGCCAAAAGTTCCTGTTGGAGAAAATACTACTTCATATAGTTTTACCGAAAAACATTTGTATGCTTTACCTGTGTTTTTGTTAATTTGTGTGTTAAGAAAACTTCGCCAAACAAGAATGGTATCTCTTCATCTTCATCGAAAAGTTCAATTTCGTCCAGCGCTTCCTCCACACTCTTCAAATCATTTTTCTTCATATCCAGCTCCATTTTCAGATCATCCATACGCGCATTATGTTTTGCGAAACGATTAATTTTCTGTTGATCTTCGAAGGATATGTGGACATCATCCTGTTAAGGAATATACATAGATATAAACAAATATTTTAATGCGGTTTTAATATGAGCAATCCTAGACCGATTTGCTTCATTGAGGTTAGGTTTCTTTCAACGATTGGGGTTTTGTAAATAAAAATCTCCATGTCAACTAACCGCCTGGAATACTTTATTGTTGCCCGATGAAACTTTAGCTGCCATTTTCTGATAATATTTTCAACAAATACGTGATTTTATTTCAATAATTATCGCACCTGCGGTGATAAACAATGCAAAATATTCCAGCTAGAATGTCAAATCTTAGGATGTGTTTCATATGCACAAGCTCAACTGTCAACGCCTCAGCTGTTTGCTTTCCTGTCGATAAAGCAGGTTTCATTGTATTTTAACTTTGCGTATGCGTTTCCGGAAATGAGTGTCCGACGGAAATAACTTTATTTTGCCCTTTAAACCTACTTTATTTTTTATGAATGAGGCCATTCGAATATAAGGTGCATGATGCAATAATGAAAGGTGTTGTACGTTGTGACAGCCCGAAATCGAACTACCTTAGGTCAATATTGTATTTTGGAAGTACAAGAAAAACGGGAAGAAAAAAAGCCCTTTAGTTGAAAAAGTACTAAAATCTCAACAGCGTTCCGATTATCTGAATAGGTATATATATGGCTTGGTAGTCTCATAAAGTTGTAGATAATTAAAATAATAAAATAAGGCGCGTTTTTATTCACAGGAATATGATAATTTGCTTAAAATTTTTGAGCTGATAATACCCAGCTAGAACAGTATGGCATATATAACTCCTTTTATAAGCCGCATCACTAAGAAAATTATCCCTTGTGAATTTGAAATGTTTCCCTTATATTGTACAGGCCAAATAGAGGAATTAATTTACGTGTGATATTTTGTCCCCCTCTTTCAAATGGGCTTCTTGTGCGCATATATCAGGTTTGATAGCTGTTGACCATACCAATAATGCCTCATACTTAGTTTTACTAGATCAATTCGTGTTCTCGAGAAAAAAAATTTCACGATTCAAAAATCTGAGTATAGCGGCCAAATTCTTTTCTAAAAATTTTGAAAATTCTCCGTTTTTGGCCTATATTTGCTTTGTATGGTATTTGCCATAAAATATAAGCCAAAAACGATAAATGTTCAAAATTTGGAGAAAAAAGATTTTTCAGATTTTTGGATCGTGAAAATTTTTTTTCTCGGAGAACACGAATTGATCTAGTAAATCTGAGTATGAGGCATTATTCGTATGCCAACAGCTATCGAACCGGATATATTCGCACTAAGGTTTTGTTGTGTTCCACAGTGTTATATAAGGGATACTTTGAGGAATCATATAAACAATTATACATTACCCAAGTTCACGTACATCCAAATTATTTATTTGTTTTTGAAATTAACAATATATTTCAGAATTTATAATTAATACGTTGTGTTCATTTTAGTAAATGCACTTTGATTTTTAATTGTACAAAATTTATTATATACATACAGTATCGGTCATATCAATAGCAACCCTATTTCAAAGTGATATTATTTCCCTCTCATGTTAATTTATTTCTAAGAATTTACAATAAAAATAAAGTTCAATTCCTAACAAAACCCAATTTTAAAACTTCGTAGAAAACTACAAAAAATACAACAAATTTTCACCCAAAATTCACATTTTTTTTTTATAGCCCCTTCAATTTTAGTCTTATTATATGCAAGTTTGAAGTGGCTAAAAATTACCTTTGATTTTTTAGAATCGATATAATAACAAATCGTGTTTAATCGTCTTCCATATACCGAAAAATGCGACTATTTATCCATGGCTGAGTGGAATATCGACCTATCTCGGCAGCCAGGTCGAAAACACTCGATATCAGAAAACTTTTCAACGCCCTAATTCAAAATTTGGCTGGAAAACGCCCTATTTTAGAATTTGATTGAAAAATGCCCTATCTCAGAACTCGGTTCAAAAACACCCTATCTCAGCTGGCGATCCAAAAACGCCCTATCAGCACATTTTCAAAGTATTTTCATTTGAGATAGGACTTTTTTGAACCGAATAATAATAATAATATACTATATACATATCTAGTTTTAACATAAAAAAAATTATGTACACATTAATTGTCTATGCATATCTAAGTCAATATATGTGATATATATGTACATACATCTACATATCGTCGTTTAAAGTACAAAACCGTGTATCAGTAAAATGCCAAACCGCGTATCAAGATAATGCAAACCCAACGAGGTTGCATACATTATTTTCTAGAGAGTGAAAACACTCATATTTCAAAATGGTTATCTTTTTTTAAAGAGCAATCGCATTTTTGGCTAATATGTATCAGGAAGAATGGATAAGGATTGAGCCAAGAACTTGTGTGAGCAAATCCAATTTTTAGCATCAAATGTCAGTTACGCGGTTTTGTACTTAAACGACGATGCTTATGTTAACAGGAACGCTGCAATTTAATACACGGGTGAAGCAGGAACGCAGCACAGCAGAAGCATATAAACAATCTGCAAATGAATGGCTTTTTAGGTTTTTAACAAACAAACACCTGGTTTCAACTTACTTCAACGTGTCTAAAGCACAACGCACACACTATTGCAAAGGCGCAACAGGGACGCAACACTATAAAACACGGGCGGAGCAGGAACGCAGCACAACAGAAGCGTCCACAAAATCTGCGAATAAATGGTTCATTAGGTTTTGAAATAACAAAGAGCTGGTTCCAACTTACTTCAAAATATCTGCAGGATGATGCACACAATCAAATTCGGCCGCAGCTGCAGTTCACCAGAGAATGCTGCAAATGGAATGGTTCATCAATGAAGTCAAAATAATATGTTGTAACTTACGTGTATTAGCTCTTAATTACAATACCAGCACAGGTCGGCCAGGAAAACACTAAGGAAATTACCTAATAAATGCAAAATTATAATTAATTTGTAAAATAAATCGGTTTTATTACAATACTTACCAAATTTCAAGCAATTAGAAAACAAATGTCAGCGAATAAGAACAAAACGAACAACGAAAATTGAATCAATGTAGCTTGTTTAGAATTTTTTTCTTATATTTTGGGAAATGTTCAGTGAAATTAGCAAAGAAACAACACAGTTTCTCCTAAGGTAGTTCAAGATGGCGGATTAGAGCGAGAAGTTGCCAACGTATAACACCTTTCTTTATTGCATCATGTATAAGGTGGTATGTGTATGTTATGTAACAAAATTAATGGTTGACAGAGTGCTACAAAATTGAACATTGAAAATTAGTTCATTTTTTTTTTAAATTGAAGCAGAGAATGACGATAAGGTACCACTGAAGAAGTCGACGTTGCCATTAAGGCCATTAATAGTGTCGCCTTGGTGTCTGCTATTCTATTCCTTGGTCCGTAGCGCACATAATTTTTTGTTGAGCTAACAGTGTGTAATAGTATTCTTATTCCTTAGATCCGGCTTATTGCAAATTAGACCAAATTGCTCTAATATTTCTGGAGAATCGATGTGACCATTGATGACCTTATAGCAGAATACTATGTCTGCGGCTTGCCTGCGATTTGCTCGTCTCGTGATATCAAGCTGTTTGTTAACATCTTCATGGCTTACGTCAAGACGTCTCTTACCCAAAAATTACGTGATGTGTTCGCAAAGTAGCAAGATGCTGACGATGAGGCACCAGCTAATGCAGAAAACCAAGAAGAAGAACCCGTGAACGAAGAGGCAACACCTGAAGTTGCGAAAGAATGTTCCGTGAAGTCAATGCCTCTGCTAAAGCTGCTGGCGATAAATCATTCGGACCCATTTACCGTTATACAAAAAGTAAATCGTGTCATGGCTGCATCCAGCTAACAGTTTTGATACTAACCATTTGGAGAAATTAAATGCGCATGCTAGTGCAAGTTTTGAGGAGTCACATACCATAGAAACAGAAACGGCAACCACAATAATTTGGGAGCATAAAAGGCCAAAAGAGTAAGCCGAGTTTTCTGAGATTTGGCGTAAAAGGAAGAAATTAACACGTTGAAGGTGGAGAAAGTTCTGAGGGTCAATTGGATTGGATTTCCTGTCCACAACAAATTTAAAATAAATATTTTGAAGGTAAAAAATAAATATGTATAAATTTGAAAAAAAACATTCACACTTTTTAGCCCTTGGCAGTATGTTAACTATGTATGTATGTATATCTTTGAAAATGGATACATATCTGCCTGGGTAATCAAATTAAATATAGTAAAAACTTTTAGCCTATTTCATAAAAGGCCAGTGACAATTATAATATGGACAAATTTACAAAACTCTCCTAATTCTTGTAAGCGGGCTGTGCCCCTCAGATTGGTTACCCCTGACGGAAGACTATTACCAAGCAAGATTAAAAGCATATTCATATTTTTTGCGGCTTTAATTTTTAGCATACATATGCATAGAAAAAAAATTACAATAAAAAAATTAAACAAACTAAATAATTACTGAAAATTAGTTTTACGCGTCTGATAATTTATGTATTTATTTTTGTTAATTCATATGTCTATTATATTTGGTTCATAGGAATTAAACGAAATTTATCAACAAACTAAGCAGTCATTCAACTTAAAATAAAACTGAATGAAAGTTTACGCCCATAATTACCTAAAAACAGTATGTACATGACACCCGTTGTGAATTAATTCATCGTTTCCTTTGGTTTAAGATGAACATGAAATCGCACATATGTATGTATGTACTCGGGACACACGCACGTATGTGTAAATATATATCACTGAACGTAAACAAAAAAATATGTTTATGTATATGTTTGCTTACAAAAAATTTTCATACGACTACAACGAATTAAACAAAATCACTATGAATCTAGATTAAAAAAATCTATATGTTTGTATATGTACACAAAATATATATATGTAGTATGTATGCACATTTAATTAAGTGGTAAAAGTTCAAGAAACGAACTAACCGTCCAACAAATTACTTAATTCCCAAAGGTCCTTACCAACACTTTTTTCGAAATTGCGGTTTTTATAGATTTTGCTAGGAGGTATTAAAGTACACCTTCAGACAAAATTTTAAAGTGTTAGTACCTACCAAAAACAACGAGGTTACATGCCTCTTTTTAAAAAGCCCTACCAGTTTTTGATACTCTTTTTATAATGTTTTTTGCTTCTCCTGTAAGATTAAAAATGTTCGTCAGGGCCTTTGAGGATTAAGGTAACGATATGTACATATGTAAGTATAGACAATATTTTGTTTTACCACACAAACATTACGGTAGCCAGTGGAGAAGTTTTGCTGAATTAGCTTAGTTCGAGGTAAAGTTTTGACACAATACATCGTAAAGTTTTTTTTTTTTTTTAAATTTCTGAGAACAAGTTATTTTTACATTTTGGTATGCAAATTAAGGTGGAGTAAAATTACGTTTTTTTTTGGAAATGGCTTTCACATACATATCTGCAGAAAGTTGCCTTTCTAGCCCAGAAATAATTGTGCAAAATATTATTTGCCTCGTCGTATATGTACTTATTTAATGGCGCCCCGACAGGATTAAGTTCTGACGATTTTCTCCAGCTAGTCCTCTGAGAAGGCTATGCGGTTGACATAGTCTTAATTGCTTGGGGGAGCAGTTGTAAGCACCCGCTGTGATAATACTCAAAGCTAACTCCACCTAACAAAAAGAAACTACTTAATTTTGCTAGAGTGGGGTTTGACAGACGAAAGCTCATATCATCCTACTTCTCAGAGATGACATACCGCGGGCAATAGTGTTCCAGAAGGGATTAAGTACAGAATTACGGAGCAGCGTCTTTGTTTTGAAGAAGATTAGTACCCGGTAAATACATACATATGTGAATAGTATTTATGTGTTCTTTCAGCGACCGAAAGTACTGATTATTTCTAAAATTTTAACTCAAAAAATCATGCTGAAAGATAAATGCTACGAGCATAAGTGGTAAACAAATATACTCTTTGTCACTCGGACTACCTTCGGCGGCACTGAATTTTGTTTTTAAAGTTTTATAAAAAAATATCAAGCTTATGGTAATGGTAATTGTAATTGTAATGGTAATGCTAATGACAATGTTAATGGTACTGGTAATTGTAATTGTAAGGGTAATATAAGTAATAATGGTAATTGTAATGGTAATTATAACTTTAATTGCAATTGTAATGGCAGTCGCCGTTTTCGTTTTCGGGTTCGCCTACGTATTCGTGCTCATTTTCGTATTCGTTTTTGTTCGTGTTCATATCGCTGCCTTAATATAGAAAGGCCCTATCTGACATCGTCGCTGATATACAAAAAGCCGTAACTAACTAAAAATCGAAAATTTACGTTTTAATTGATTATGATGCATTTGATCGCATTATATGGCCCCAAATCGTTTTATGCAATAAAAGATTTTAGTTAGTTACGGCTTTGTGTATTTCAGCGACGATGTGAGATAGGGCCTTTCTATATTAAGGCAACGATATGTATCGTTGTCTCCAGCTTCTCCATCGATTCGCCAACAGTTAGTGAGTGGTGAAACGAACGAACTCAATGAGGTACACCCAAACTCGCTATCGTCCATCTTTGCTAGATAACTTTGTTGTTGCTTTCGCATGCAAAATTTTTCGTTAAGTGGCGAATCGATCCCGGCTTAAGTTTCATTTTGTTAGCGAAAAATAAAACTTAAAAATTACAATCAATTTCTGAGCAAAAAATTAAACCAATATCAATGTATGTAGGTATAGGTAATGGCACTAATAACCGGACAACCCCTAGTAACCGGACACTTCCTTCTTTTTCTTTTAGAAACAAGAGAACGGTTGTACTTAGTAAATAAGTAATGTTACCATTTCAAAATTCAAAGTTGAATCCCTACATTTACGCAAAAAAACTTAGATAGACATGAATATTAAAATATCTTTAAGCGAAACAGTCTAGCCGAAATGCGTCATTAGCGCGAAGAAGCAATATTTCTACATTTGTAGTATCTGTGGGCGCGGAAGCTAGTGCAAATTTAATACGCTGTGTAAGTGACAAGTGAATCAAAAAGTGTTTGTGCAATTTATATATTATTTAAATAATACATTCAGGTAAGGATATTAACAAAATATACGTTTTTTTAATTTAAAATTAGGTGTCCGGTAACTGGATAATATTTTTCTATTTATTTCAGTATCCGGACAGACTGCCCGGTTATTGAAAACTAGTCAACTAGTATCCGGACAGCTTAATTTTAACTTGAATTTAACAGTTTTCCTGCCAAATTCTCACTATTACGAGTTTTTAGTAGCCCCCAAATCGCCCCCTAAACGAAAGAGGATTGACCACGCCTACTGAAAAGCAACCCCTCCCCCCTCTCCCGTTCCCCCTCACCAGCCCACAGCCCCCTCGTGAGCTGTTTGGAAATAGAGGATATTTTGATTTTTTGCAAAGGATTATAACCCTGAGTTATAATTAAAATTCTCCTTTCTGTGTTGCCGAAGAGGAGGGGCTGAACACCTTTTGCAGAGATATTTCGTGGATATTTTTTGTGTTCGACAGCTCAGCTCGGAAATTTGCAAAAAAATACCATATTTCAAACCGAAATTATTAATGAAATAGTGCACAAATATAGAATTTTTTTAAATAAATAAAGCGTAGACTCTTGTCTACAAGTGTGTGTAAAAGTTTTTTGATTCGGGTTAAGGCTAGTTTTCACTATGTCAAATTGAGTGGCATTTGTCGTCAAATAAGTGAAAACGCATTGTCAAAAGTGATCAAAAAGCGGTTTATCGATTGAATTGTATCAGGATAGGTCTTTAGTCGTGTACATGCGCTACGAAATCAGCTATTTGTCAGTTTTTGGCCCATAATATCATCGGTAAAGGTATGGATAAAGGGATAAAGTTGTGTCAAAATATGTCGCCTAATTTTGGCGTCAAAATATGGCATAGTGAAAACCAGTCTTTACGCGTTTGGGCACAGTTACCCGAAATCGTTGTACAAATAAGTAAAGAGTACCCCATTTAAATTATGGAATGTTTTCTCATTTTCTAAATTCCCTGTGGATATTCAGCACAGGTATTACATAAGATTTCTAACTTAATTTATTATTATC